AATTTTCTTTCAATGTGCATGTATTTGTGCACCAGGCCACTAGTGTATACATAAAACAGCTCCTAATTGGGGGGGGGGGGCAGGGGCGAAGGGGTATTAATAGTCAGGTAGCATTTGCCAATCAACCACTTGTCTCACCTGACCCCTCTATTGCTCAGTAAGGGAGGAAAGAAAACAAACAGTAGATTCTTAAATAACCAAGCTTACCTGCCAGAATATCTACCATGTAGATTGGAAAGAACAATGGCTATGTCATGTCTAGACCTACGTTATTTACTTTACTTTGAATGGGTTACCTTTTCCTAGAATGCTCTGTTATATCTATTTCTGGCATACAAGCCGCACATCAGACAGTGTTGGGGTTGATGTCTCTTTCCCCATTGCTGTAGGGTCTCTGTATTGGGAAGGCTGAGTAATTTGAGTTAATGACTACCTATTAGAAATGTTGTTAATGCACATCCCATGTGTTTATGACTGCCCTTTACTTCTGTTACTGACATTCTCTCTCATTTTTATTACAAGCCCGTAATGAGTCCCATAGAAGAAAAGCCATCATTGTCGGTGATTAGTTTGACATTTAAAAGTTTTTCTAAGTTAAGTTTTGCAGACACACTTAATATTAAAGAGATTTTATGATTAACAGCTATTACAAAAGGAATTCAAAAGCGTCTCTGAAATAAAATTGATAAACTTCCCTGTTCTGAGAGGAACACGATTAACTCTCGAAGCTATTAAAATCCATTTTCACTCCCTTTGTTAATTTCCTGGACAATTTTAAGTCTCACTGCTTTTCAGTATACTTATTTTATACACACAATTAATTCTCTTATCATAATATATAAAATAAAATACTTTTCCTCAGTCTGAAAAAGTGCTTGTAGATTCAAATCATGAAAAACTTTTTCCACCCTCTTGTTGAATTCTAAGTTTAAAGTATGCATATCAAAGAAACTTCATGCCCATGAAGGTTCGGTTATTAACACAAGCCCAGATGCATGTGTAGTTCACCAGCTCTAGCACAAAATCCCTCGCGAGTTTTTCTTTGAAAATGATAATATGTTTGATGGAAGTCCACATATTCTGTGTATATATACTGGTACTTTGTGCTTTACCTGTTGATAAATGCAAATGAGGATGGTAGCTGTTATTATGGGATACCCCCTTCAAACACAATATTGCATGGACTGAAATGTACACTGTCCCATGAGGCATGGTTGGGCCCATAACTTTGCTGTTTTTCTCTTTTGTCTGGATTTCAGGAAAGTCACCTGAACTTTAATTTTGTTAATTCCTAATTCTTTTAATTCTCTAATGATATTTAGGTGTCTTTCCTCATCCACGTGATTTTTATCTTCCCCTCCCAGTGATTTCCAAATTCATTTTTTTAATTGCCTTGAAATGTAGTCTAAATGTGAGGCCGTGGTTCACTATGTATTGTTATTGATTAAATTATAGTCCAAGAACGTATATTTCTAATCTGCATATTTTGGGGTAACAGTGACTTACAAATTATTTTGAAATTTGAGACCTTGCGCGTCTGAAAATTCAGAGTTGTGTCCAGTTTAGCAGATTTGTTCAGTGACTGTGGAACATCTCTGGGTTGTGACGAAGGTCGTTGTAGTACAAAAGGCTGACTTAAACACCATTCAGCAACAGAGCATCCAGAGACTTCCTGCTTTAGATGAAATATAAACTGCTATTTACTGCAGCCAGAAATGCTGAGAAAAACTTATTAGATGTGCTTAAAACAGTTGTCATCAAAAGTTGGTGTGGTCTTCGCAGTGAGTTTTGCTGCCTTATCTTTCTGTTGGATAAATAACTACAACCAAATTAACTATCATTTATGATTGATGTAGTACGACTTTTAGCGCTTAGCTGTAAAGATTCTGTCTGTCTTTAAAAGACAGAACAGAAATATGAAGTGTTACTAATGAGGCTGCATTTCATTATGTTTAGTAGTTATAATTGTGAGATTGCTGATGATAGATGGTTTGAGAATAAGGTGGAACTAAAATTTTAGATGTTGGTTTATTAGCTATGTATATGAAAAGCTTAAGGAAACTGTATAAGGACTAGAGATAGAATATATAACTCCTAAAATAGTTAAACTCCTAAAGAGTTTACAAAGAAATGTATACAGTACAAAGAAGAAAGGTGAAAGGAAAAGCAAGGTGAATAGAATATTCAGAATTAATAATGTGGAAGCCAGCACATCAATACTAACAGTTAATGAAAGCAGAGTAGTACAAATTCTTAGATTAAAGTTTTAAAAGTTAGTTAAGTCATATGTTCATTTGCAAGAGACCCACTTAAAACATAGTGACAGGTAATTTGGAAATACAGTGAGGATGAGAATGGAGAAAAAAAATTAACGTAAATAAAATTTATGTGAGGTTTTCCAAAAACTCTGGCAAATCTTTGAAAATACTATAATGAGCCTAGAAGAAGGTGAAGAGAATGCATCTGAGTCATTTGCTATCATGTGCAATTTGTGACAAAAACGCATACAACAAAAATATGATTCATTTTTGGCATAGGAGGCCGCTTCAGAACTCGGGGGGAAAAGGACTCTAAGGAAGAGCAGCCAAAGTAAACAGGACTTTCTGGAATCTTTTATAAAACTATAACCTGGAATCCCACTTTTATTTCACCGTATAAACTACTTCTGTGCTCTAAAGTAATTGTTTCTGAGAAAGAGCTGTTTAGCTTATAACATCAATGTGTTGCCCAGTGTTAATGAACACACTGGTTGCTGCTAGCAAGTAAAACCCTAAGTAGTCCATGCTTAGTCCTGTTTAGACAACATTAAGCTCGATATGATCACCTTGCACTGATACCAAGGATCAGTGTATGTGAGCTTGATAAGAGCAGCGCAGCAAGTCAAAGTGAATGTTACATTTGAAAATTTTGCCTCCACATAAAATAAAAGAAGCATGTCTCAAAGACTGCAGTTCATAGAACTATTATTGGAATAGGAAACAGAAATAGTGTAACTGTCCTACTATGTAATGAGACAGAAGCAAATATATCATTGTTATGTATTTTTTATTAATCGTGGGTGTTATCTTTTTAATTAGTCCTATATTAATTGCACTATTAATTCTTACAATTATATGCAATAATGTACCCCCAAAATGTAATTATCCAATAACAAATTAAAATGCTTTAAAAACATAATGACAGATTTTTTGCTTCTGGCCATAACAGTGTAACTGGTACTGGACTAGCCCTCTTGCCATAAACAGAAAACTGTACGAAATAGACAAAGCAACTGTTTGCAGATATTGGTCAGCAGGCGTCAGAAGATTTTCATCTGTGAAAGTGACCAGTCCTGTGCTTGCCCAGCTCCCTGCCTGGAAGTATTTTCTGGACTCAAAGAGGAGGAGCCCCGAAGGACAGCAGTCTCGCTGAACTTGGGATCCAGGAAAACGGGAGCCACTGAGTTTGCAGGCAGGGAACCAAAAGAAGGAAACTGCCCACTAAGAAATCTGCCTTGGTATCCCCTTGCGTCTTTAGCTGTTAGTGGTGCATGCACAGGAGGAGACTCCATGATTCGAGCCAAGGACAACTACCAGGAAGTTGTGAAGCCAGCCACTACCAGAGGTCTAACACAGCTGGGAGACTCGCATTTTGACAAAGTGGAAAGACCTTGTGAGCACTTGGTATTCAGCGGAGACCCCGAAGAGGCCATGCCTCAGCAGTAGGCTGTAGACCTTACCAACGAAGCTTGAAAACAAGCCTTGAATGGAACAAGCAGATTTACCAACAAATTATCTGCCTCAGAACTTTTAAAGGAAGAAAACAAAATCCAGACAACATTCAAAATATTCAGAACCCAATAAAAAATATTACTATGTGTAAAGAAGCAGAAAAATGTGACATAACCAGGAGAACAATTAGTCAATATAACAGATCCAGAAATGACAGGTAGTAGAATTAGCAGACGAGGACTTTTTAAAAGCTATTATTAAAAAATGATTTTAAAAAGATTTTAGAAAACATTATTATAACGAACAAAGAAAAAGAAAATATAAAAACAACCCAAATGCTCTTCTAAAGGTGAAAAATAAACTCTCTGAATTTTTAAGTTCCCTACATGGGCTTAACAGTAGTTTAGATACTATTAAAGAAAATAGCAGGGAATTTGGAGATGGAACAATTGAAACTAAACCACAAAGAGAAAATAAATTGAAACAAAAATGAATACAGTCTCATTGACCTATCAGATAGCGGATTCAATGGTATGTAGTTGGCATGTTAGGGATAAGGGGACACAAAAATATAAAGGATGGGGGAAAGCAGATTTATGGTTGTGCATATGGAAAACAACACATTAATAAATAATAAAATAATAAACTCTGTGTTTTGTGTACTCACAAGTGTAAAACTACTTGTTCCTCACCCGTATGAGGGAAAAGTGGTCAAAAATGCTATGAATTTGATAGACATACCCACAGATTCAAGACACTCAACAAATCCCAAGCAGGCTACTGTCGAAAAACCCATTATAATCAATCTGCAGAAAACCAACGATAATAAGAAAATCTTAAAAGCAGCCAGAGAAGAGAATACATTACCTACAGGGGGAAAAAGATAAGAAGTGCAAGTCAGTGCAAGTCAGAAGACAATGGAAAGACACTTTAATTTAATCTCCCTCCCACCTGCCCTCCACTGCTGCCTGTTTCCTGGAGATCTTCTAGAAATGTTCCATGTACAGACATAGAAAACGCATTTTAAATTACTTTTAACATAGAATTTAGAAAGGTTTGCAGGAATTTATCCTGCTTACAGAGTCATAAACGGTGTGTTGTGTTTATAGAGAAATGATGGTCTTTCCTAGGTAAAATAATCCCTAGAGCAGAGAGGGGCCATTTATTACTTCAGCCCTAATCCTGTGCTGATTAAACAGCCCTTAGTTTTATACTCTGGTCTTCTGAGTCAACCCGCAGAAGGGACTGGGACTGGTGTTAATTCTTTTGCTGAGGATAGGTGCCCTTAGAAATATGCAAATTGGCTTAGAAGGCAGCTGGACAAAGAATAAAGGAGACAGAATTTGAAATTAGATCCAATCTGGGCTTTTCAGCTTACATAGTTGTGTTTAAAGATAGAGAAATGGGGCCCCGGTTGGGAATAGCCTATCCAATTATTGATGGGATCCCTAATATACTACAGGCAGCTAGGATGATGTAAGAAGCAAGAAGATATGGAGCAGCACTAGATCATAATTAAAAACAACAGAACAACCAAACTTTCTTAATACCATCTACCTTTTAAAAAGTCAGGGTGGCAGGTAATAAGTGGGAGAGGAGAATGTTTCTGTCTCTTCCTACGTTGACCATCCTCATTCCATTCATCTCCTTAGCAGGACTGTTCTACTCGGCCTCCGTGGAAGAGAACTCCCCACAGGGCTGCACCAGCACAGCCAGCCTGTGCTTTTACATCTCCATCACCATACCAGTGTATGTGTTCTCCCACCTGCGGATGTGGCTGGGTATTAAGCTCTTCAGGCATAACTAATGCACCCAGAGCCAAAATGGGATATACATTAATGATAAAGTCTTGAGTGTCTTGTCAACTGCATGAAAATACTGGAAACCCACTTAATTTTCAGGGAAGATGCTGTACCTTGCTTCTGTCAGAGCTTGGGGCTACGGGAGGCTTACCCTGCAGAAGCTTCTTTTATTATACTTTGGTTCTGCCCTTGTTTTTTGAAGGTTCTAGTTTCTAACTGCTGTATCAGAAGAAACATTTCAACACAGTGTCTTATTGGAAATTAACAACCCCAACCATCACCTAATGACTTTTATTTCTTCTTCCTTTCATCTAAAAATTAATATTTTGAAATTTTATGTTTGAGATTCAAAGTCTTTGATAAAGTCACATGTTATGAAATAATTCCAAAGGAGCTATGTTGGAGTAGTTGTAGAGAAATGCATTTGAACAAATGTGATATAAAACTATTTTATGGAAAATTAATTTTTAAAAAAAGAAAGAAAGAAATGGGGCCTTGGCCAGGTGGCGCAGTTGGGTGGAGCATCATCCTGTACACCAAAAGGTTGCAGGTTTGATCCCTGGCCAGGACAAGACACCTTCTTAATAGGCCTACCTTGACGGCCACACTGAAAACTATAGTCCCTTCCCCCTCATTCTGCCTCCCTTACCGAGATTGTTCATGTTCTCCATGCCGTCTCTCATTGTATAATATGCTACATAATTCTATATGTGTGTTTGTCTGCTCCCCTAGACTGGAACATTTTTTGCTTCTTGGTTGGTTCACTGATACATCTTTGCCCCCTAGAAAACGACTTGAACGTAATAGCTGCTTAGGAAATTTTTATTGAATGAACAAATGACAGTTGTAAGTGTGGTAGGGTTCTCTAGAGAAACAGAACCAACAGGACCTGCATGTATGTATAGAGAGAAATACTTACTTTTTTAGAAATTGGCTAATGTGATTGGGGTGGCTTGACTGGTCCAAAGTCTTCTGGGAAGGCTGGCAGGCTGGAACCCCAGGGAAGATTGCCCATCAGAGACAATTTACTGGCAGGATTCCTTCCTACCTTTGCAGGGCAGTCTTTCTATTAAGGCCTTGGACTGGTTGGATAGATTCACTCACATTACGGAGGGTAATCACCTATACTCAAAGTCCATCCATTTAAATGTAAATCTCATCTAAAAAATACCTTCACAGAAACATGCAGAATGTTTGACCAAATATCTAGGTGCTCTGTCCTTGTCAAGTTGACACATTAAATTAACTATCACAATAGGATGTGGAGAAATAAGAACTGTTACACACTGATAAAATGTAAGAGAGTGAGTTGGTAATCACTTAATTTGGCAATATCTAATAAAGTGGAGTTTGTGCATGTCCTTCCACTGAGCAATTTTACTCCTAGTTATATAGAAACACTTATAAAAGGCCTTACTTATATAAGGGAAACACTTAACATAAGGCCACAAATAAACATGTTCAAGAATTTTTTTTAATATATTTATTGATTTTTTATAGAGAGGAAGGGAGAGGGATAGAGAGTCAGAAACATCGATGAGAATGAAACATCGATCAGCTGCCTCCTGCCCAACCCCCACTGGGGATATGCCCGCAACCAAGGTACATGCCCTTGACCGGAATCGAACCTGGGACCCTTCAGTCCGAAGGCTGACGCTCTATTTACTGAGCCAAACCAGTCAGGGCTGTTCAAGAATTTTTGTAAAGTGTTGTTGTAATAGGAAGAAAATGGAAATAATTTAAATGTTTATTGGTGGGAAAATGGATCAGTTAGCTGTGGTATATTCTTAAATTGGAATATATACAACAGTTAAATGAAATAAATGTACATATACCAACATGGATTATTTTTTTAATTATGTTGAATTTTAAAAAGTAGTTACAAAAGGATATATATAGTTTGATACTACTTAGGTTTTAACAACTCAAAACCATAATGTTGGCTGCATTAGTTTTTTTACCAACATTATTTTTGTTATTTAAGACTATCCTGTTTAATTATAAAAGAAACCCACAGAAGCATGGGCCTTTGTTCTCTGGCATCTTGTGTGGGGGGGCTAAAGATATGCATGAAGAGTTGGTCAACAAAAATTATTAATGTGACCAATATGAACCACACATGAACTTCTTTACATCTATGCCCATCTTGGTAACTTCTACTCATTTAGAACAACTTTTAAAATACGTAACCTGTGGCCAAACTTCAGAGTCAGGGATATTAATATTCAATATGACAGATTGCATATATTTTCAGTTAAAGAATAGACTGAATTTAAATAACAATCACATTAAGTTATGACATTCAGTTACATCTGATGATATTTTCTACTTAAATATTTCTCTATGTTTTGTTAAACATTGATTAGGAGTGAAATAAGTTAAAATGGATGTTCATCTTTTTTTTCTGTTAACTTTCTTATCCATTCATAAGTTTGGGATAAATTTATTGCATTTGAGTTTAACCTTTAGTTTTTGCTTAATATTTAATAGTACTCTCACAGAAAATACATTCTAATCAGCCTCCTGCATTGCTTTTATTGTCTTCCCAGTTGTCTGACGATGGTCGCTATGTCTTGTTATCAATAAGGGAGGGGTGTGACCCAGTGAACCGGCTCTGGTACTGTGACCTGCAGCAGGAATCCAATGGCATCACTGGTAAGTTATCTTTCACGCACAGGTACTAGTAGTTACTCCAAGATGCCTTTTAAAAGCAGTTATTTTGTCTTCTAATTGATTTTCTAAGAAACCATCTTCCATTTAATCACATTGTCTTAGTTCATGTGTTCCCTCCTACCCCATATTATCCCATAAAATGAAGAAAAACTGAATGAACGTATTTGTTGGCTTCAGCATTTTCTCGGTAGATTGAGGTTAACCATATTTTTTGCATATGAATGTGAAAATATCCTGCGAATACTGCAGATGAAGAGGATTAAGGAGAAGCTGGCCCTTTGGTCTGTAAAACAGTATAACTGTCTAGACGTAATGCGGCAAACCGACATAGACAAGAGAGAGGGGACCAGTGAGAATTAACCAGGGTAACATAATCATAGGACAGCTCCTCAGTACTGAGCCACATGCACAATCACAGCCTGATTTTCCTGCCTGAATCTTCATATGTCATGATAGTAAGCATGAAACCAGCCAGTCACAAATTCTGGAGATGGCTCATTTTAAATATTCTCTTCTGACATCTAAATCATACCAATACCACTGTCAAGCAGTAAAGCTTTCCAACTGCAGGACGTACTGTGCTGAAAATTCCCAGACCCAGAAATTGTATCGGGTATGCTGGCACGTAGGTAAGACCCCATACTAATTATACCATGTTCTGGTTAATGTAAAATAAGTATATTTTAGAGATGGTGACCTAGATTTTCAAACTGTACAATATATTGAGTGCACTTTTAGTTATTTGATTACCTCATTATTGGTCTATATTGTGTGTTACATAATAGTAAGATAATTTAAATTCTTTATTATTGATTGGTCATTGCATCATTTTTAAACTTCTAAAGTAAGATTCGCATCCTAAGATTCTTAGATACCACAGATGCCATTCACACATACAGCAGGATGAAGTCAACAACTTTTATGCTAGTGTTAAATATACTTCCATTTAATAAAACTACGGGTTTGTGGTTTTGTTTTGTTTTTTAAAAAAAGATATATCCATTTTGATCTGAAGAAAATTGGCTCAATCACAGTAGTTGCACATTCTCTGACAGGAGCAGGCCACCACCCAAGAATTGTTCATTTGAGTTGCAAGTGCAGGTGTACATAGAACTGTGCAAACCTCTGAATATAGAATCTGAAAGAAACAATAACAGCTGTTAGACTGTGCTGTTGTCCTGTACAATATTCCCATGTGACTGTAAAATAGTGCATAGGACTTTGCTTTCTCCAGTTCTTTATGAATGCCAATTACCGTGTTCTTTCTCCATAGAATTCTGGTTTCATTTTTTATTTATTACTTCATTTTTATATATTTAAATTTTTAGGTGGGCTTATTGTTAAACAATATAAGTAAACTAATTAAAAAACAAATTGGCCCTGGCCAGGTGGCTCAGTTGGTTGGAGCATTGTCCCATACACCAAAAGGTTGTAGGTTCAATCCCTGGTTGGGGCACATACGGGAGGCAACCTATCGATGTTTTTCTCTCTCTCCCTTCCTGTCTTCTAAAATCAATTTCTTAAAAAAAGCGAGCCTGAGTGGTCTTCGTGTCACAGCATTTATAAAGTGTTTGGTGGAAAAGTTGGATGGTGCTAACATATTTGATTTTTGTAAGCGAATATCTGCTTACTGTGTACTTTGTCTAGACTTTCATTAACTTGTCTCTCTCCTTTGTCCTTTTATGCTGAAGGTTTGATCATTTTAGATTGATGAAATTTTCAGTGCTCCCCATGTCTTTATTTTAAAGCTTTCATGTCATTAATGAAAATTATCTTCTCCCGCATAAGAAATTAATCTACCCATGAAGATAAAAGGAAGCTCAGTATTTGTCAGACACCTACATTGTACATCCAGCCATCTCTGGCTAGTGCAAAGCAGATGATCTCTTGTTTTCAGAAAACTGAGACAACACTGACCCATGGTTCAGGCCTGGCAGGACTGGGCATCTGGGGGTTACAGTGGAAATGGAGAGAAAAACATTCAAGAACCTTTAAGTGATTTATCCAAAGTTTAACCAAGTCATCTGAGCATTAAAAGCGAGACCAACAGAGGAAGAGGACTCCTGTGATGGGCAGGGGTTATTAGAAAACAGTGTGTGTGTGTCAGAGTGGCTATGCCAAAGGAAAAAAAAAAGAATAGGAACATCAAGAGGTAGTATAAAAATATGAACTTTGAAGTAAAATAAATAATGATAAAGTCAGTATTTTTGCTAATTTTAAAATTAGGGATTAGAAGGGCTTTTTCTAGGAAAATAGCTGTGTGCCATGAGAAATGGAAATTAAACTTTAAAAATTCACTATTAGCAAATCATGCTGTTCAGAAGCCACATTTAGCTTATTTTTGTCATTTGAAGAACACAGATTATTTGGCATAGTAGTAAGTGTTGTTTATTTAGCATTTATGTGTGCCAGATTCTAAGCTACAAATGTAGTTATTTCTTTGTCTTCTCAGAAACCTCTGAGGAGCACGTGTTGTTAACCTAGGAAACAGGTTGGTGAAGCCAGTTCGCTTTCCTGATGCCATTTAAAGATTCAGACCTATGTCAGTTGAACTCCCAGCCCATGTTCTAACCATAGTTATGTGTCAGGTGAGGTGGAAGGAAGGCATCAGACCAGGAGAGAGCCACAGCCTTCTGGTCCCCTCCATTCAGAGCAGGACCCACAGTTGGCATTGGCTTATCATTGTTACATGTCAGGTGCTTTGTAAAGTATAAAAACACTTCTTAGCTCCTGTTCT